TTGTGTCGAAAATGTTGTGTCGAAACGCCCCGAGGAATGCCACCAAGAATTGTGGCTCCATTGTCAATGTGGTGATGCGTTCGCTCTGGTTTTTAGTCCAACATTGAAAGGAGAGATGGAACGGATGCGAATTATAACGAAAGTTGATTTTTTATAATGAATTGAAAATTGAAATACAAAGCATTTGTAAAAAGAAGAAGAGGAAAGGAGACATGGAAAATGCAGCGCCTATTTGCATTAAACCCCAAAGTGGATTCACCACCCAACTGGCATCAAGAAGCACCCGCCACAGCTGATGAAAAAGTAACTTTCTAAAGTAACTAGAAACTTTAGTTACTCTTTCTACACCATAAAGTAACCTCCTTCTTTCTTGCTACGTTACATTTGAAGTGTAGCTTCCTTTCAGCATCCCCTTGAAAAAGTAACTACTTACAAGTAACTGTGTTGCTTGTAACTCTTTCTTCCCCACTTCTGCAATTATTCTGCTGGTCTGGCCATGGCTGTTGAAAAAAGAGATTTGCAGAGCACAGATCTGGAACAAAATGAACATCCCCTTCAGGTTGTGTGGATGATGGGAAAGAGGGTTGGGGAGGAAAGGAGAGAGAGAATGAGTAGTTGAGTACCCAAAGTAATAAGTTGCAGGACAAATGAAGGGCCCAAAGGCGGAAGGAAGGGATACATCCATATTCGATGCCCAGGAGACAGAGGGGGATTGCAGACTGCCAGAAATAGTGCAAATTGAGCCCACTTTTAGGGTTAGGGTTAGGGAATCATGAGAACTGTAGTTTATTGTGGCACCAGAGCTCTCTGACAGAGAAGGCTCAATGTCTCAGAAAAAAAACCCAATTCCCATGATTCCCTAGCACTAACCCTAACCCTTAAAGTGGACTCAATTTGCACTGTTTCTGGCAGTCTGCAACCCCCCAGAGAGCCAGGCTGTGGAAATTGGGTGAGTGTCACCGAAAAATGGAAGCAGATAGCTGGATGGAACAGGCTTTCAGATCCATGTTGGGAAGAGACCCTCAAAGGCTATCTAGTCCAACCCCTTCTCAGTGCAGGACTTCACCGCTGAAGCATCCTGAGAGATAGATGGCCATCCAGCCTCTGTTTAGAAATCTCCAAGGAAAGAGAGTCCGCCACCTAGAAAGGAACTCTCTTCCCCTGTTAAACAGCTCCTGGTTTTAGGAATTTTTTCCTAACATTTCATCAGAATCTTGTTTCTTGTGATTTGGATCCATAGGTTCAGGTCCTTCCAAAAAACCTTGCTCCATCGTCTTCCCCCTGACAGCTCTTTCCATCCTCTTGCCCGGTGACAGTCTCAGACTCCAAAGCTACTTTTCAATTACAATTCCCAGTATCCCCAGAAGGATTTGGGGAGTGATCAATTACAACTCCCAGTATCCCCAGAAGGATTTGGGGAGTGGAGTAATTTTTCTGAGCATCGCCTAGCTCAGGTCAGGGGAGTTGGGCAGTGGAGGTGATGCAGGTCATCTTGGAAATGCAGGGTTGGATCCAGACTCAGTTTTGCTTAGAGAATACTTATTGGAACGAATGGATCTTAATTTAGATTTACGACTAATTTGTCTCACCAGTCTCTTAGAACGATAGAATTGTAGAGCTGGAAGGGAACGCCAAGGGTCATTTAGTCTAGCCCTCTGCGCATGCAGGAGATGGACAGCCCTGATAGTTGGCCATCCAATAGCCACTTAAAAACCTCCCCCAGAAGAAAAGAATCCAAAGTAGTCTGGTCTACCATCAAAACAGCTCTTATAAAGGGGTCTGCTCTGAGTGCGAATCGGGATCCATCCATACTACTACTACTCCTGCCACCACTTCTTCTGCTTCTGTTTCTTTCTTTCTTTCTTTTTTTGATGCTAGATTTGGGATGGAAATTGCAAGCTGAAACCACACTCCACTCAGGCAGCAGTAGCAACGCAACTACACCAACAATCCCAAGTACCTGTGGTGTGTGTGTATGTGTGTGAGTGTGAGTGTGAGTGGATGAGGGGGGGCACCTTTGCCAGTCATGTCAGTTGCTGGGCTCCCATGTCAATGGGATGCTGAATCTGCTCTGAGTTCTAGTCTGAACTTTAAAGGTCCTCTAGCTGGTATCTTTGCCCCCCCCCCAAGGTGCTGAACCTTTACTGAGAGTAACCCCTTTAAAGTTCTGACTTAAACCCAGAGCAGATTCAACTCCCCCCGCTCGCTCAGGTGCCACCAGCTGCCCTGTTTGCCGCAGCAGAGACACTGCAATGCCACAAAAGGCTGGATGCGGGCAGTTCTTGGGTCGCAGTGTAGCAAAGTGATTTAGGATGGCCATACATCCATCATCATGGACGGACGGATGCGTGAATCATTCTCCGTAAAATTGGGCTGCGGTTGTTCCTGCCGGGGATGGTCATGCATAGATGGGGGAGAACAGATGTGGTTTGTGTCCCCCAAACATCTGGGGACGCTTTTTCCAAGTGTGAGGAATATCCTGGACTGGGAAGGGAAGATCCTTCTCTTTGGAAGATATCTCCTGTTATCTATCTATCTATCTATCTATCTATCTATCTATCTATCTATCTATCTATCTGATATTCTACCTTTCACTTCATTGGGAACCCAAGGCTGCTCATGAAACAGGTGCAACAACAGCAAAAGCAAAAGGGGAAAGGGGGAGTTGAATCTGCTCTGGGTTTAAGTCAGAACTTTAAGGGGGTTACCCTCAGTAAAGGTTCAGCACCTGGGGAGGGGGGGAGATGCCAGCTCCAGGACTTTTAAAGTTCAGACTAGAACTCAGAGCAGATTTATGTAAAGAATCAGGTACAACAACAGCAAAAGCAACAGATAATACAAAATTCAGAAAGTTATTAGTAGTAATATTTCCCTGAATCCTGTATCAGCTACAGATTCTTTATCCATGGATTCAGCCATCCATGGCATATATGTGAGAGGCAGTATGGCCTAGTGGTCTGCATGTTGGATCCCGACTCTGGAGTCCAGGGTACGATTCTCAGCTCAGCTGTTGAGGGCAAATGGAGACATTTGAGTTACCTTTGCAGCAGTGGTGCTGAGATTCACTTTCCCGTTCACTTTGGAAATGTGTCTGCTGTTCCTGAACCCATAAAAGGGAAGTCTTTAGCACCCAGATCTCTTTTTGTTGAGCCAGGAGGGGAATATTTGAAGGAGTTGCAAGGTCTAGGAAAAAACAATAGACACATTGCAAGGTGAAGGCACAGAGCAAAGCTGTTGAGTGGATTTACACCAATGCTCCATCAAACAACTAGGACTTGGAAGGGCAGCTATGAAGGAACTAGACAAAAGGTGGTTGTGGTTGTTGTTGTTGTTGTTGTGTGCCTTCAAGTCATTTCCAGCTTTTGGCTACCCTAAGGCATGGAGCTTTCTTGGCAAGATTTGTTCAGAGGAGGTTTGCCGTTGTCTTCTTCTGAGGCTGAGAGCATGTGACCTGCCCAAAGTCACCCACTGGGGTGGTGGGAGCTGGGGATGTTTAGCCTGGAGAAGAGAAGGTTAAGAGGTGATATAATAGCCTTGTTTAAATATTTAAAGGAATGTCATATCGAGGAGGGAACAAGCTTGTTTTCTGCCGCCCCGGAAACTAGCACCCGGAACAATGGGTGCAAGCTCCAGGAAAAGAGATTCCACCTCAACATTAGGAGGAACTTCCTGACAGTTCGAAAATGGAACACACTCCTTCCTCGGAGATTGTGGTGGAGTCTCCTTCCTTGGAGGTCTTTAAGCGGAGGCTGGATGGCCATCTGTCGGGGATGCTTTGATTGGGAGTTCCTGCATGGCAGGGGGGTTGGACTGGATGGCCCTTGTGGTCTCTTCCAACTCTATGATTCTATGATTCTATGGCCAAGCTGGGAATCGAACCCTGGTCTCCAGAGTTTGAGTCCAACACCCAAACCAGTATACCATGCTGGCTCTTCAGACAAGATCCTGAAGTGTAAAGAAATATCATTACCGTAAATACTAAAGTGGCAATTGTCCATGGCGCTGTATGTCAAAGGTCTAGGTCTGGATGCGAAAGCTGGTCAGGGACGAAAGCGGAAAGGAAGAGAATCCATTCATCTGAAGTGTGGGGCCAGAGGAGAGTTCTGCGGATACCGCCGATTGCCAAAAAGACAAATAGCTAATGGAGGAACTCAAGCCTGAACTCTCCCTAGAAATCAAAATGACTGAACCGAGACTTATTGTGAGATGACATATCTCATTAGAAAGACAGTAATGTTTGGTAAGGTAGAAGGTAGTAGGAAAAGAGGAAGACGGCATTCCAGAGAGAGAGACTCAGTTAAGGAAGCCAGAGCTCTCTGGCTTTGCAAGACCTGAGCAGGGCTCTTGATGGAGTGACTTGGAGGTCTCTTGTTCATAGGGTTGCCATAAATCAAAGTCACCTTCACAGAAGTTAACAACACAACCAAAGCTTGGGGAAGTTTTCCTTTGGGACCACAGTACCCAGAAAACCCTAACCAGTGTTCCCAGTGGCCATGCTGGTTGAGCGATGCTGGATACCACTGTCCAAAAGTAACACATGTCCAAGCTCTGGATATAATAACCCTTGGTATGGTGTAGTGGTTTGAGTGTTGGACTCTGACTCTGGAGACCAAGGTTCAAATCCTTGCTTGGCCATGAAACCCTCCACTGGGTGATTTGGGGCAAGTCACATCCTCTCAGCCTCAGGGGAAGCCTTCTCTGAACTAATCTTGCCAAGAAAACCCCAAGATAGATTTGCCTTAGGGTCACCAAACATCAGAAATGACTCGAAGGCACACGACAACAGCAACTCTTTAATAGTGAAGGATTCTCAGAATTGTAGTCAAAACGTTGTGTGTCCAAGCCCTGGATGCCGCCCGAGGTATCTGTGAGCATCTCTAGATGGTCAAAGAATGGTCCTTTGTCGCTTATGGTTGCTGAAGGCAAGAGGCATGTCTGCTCTTATTCTGTGTTTGGCTCTGACCAGTGGAGAGGAATTAGGAGATATGAAGGATTTCAGTATTGGCCACCGATGGCATCGCCTCCTCCATCATTTCCCTGATGAAAACCGGTCCATGTGTGGTCAAGCAACCACAGATGGTGATGAAGATAGCAAACGTTTGCAATGAGGAAGAAGGCTGCAGCAGTCTGCTTTGGCTTGAGCCTCTTGGGAGGGACAGGATGGTTCCCTCTCTTCTTCTTTCCTCCTTGCAGCAGTAGAAATAAGCTCAGGACAAAGGGGGAAAGCATGAGGAACTGGGACATTTTAGAAGCAGATGAAAAAGTGGGAAGATTGAGGATTAACTGGGAGTGCCCCTGTCAGATTGGGACAGTTGGAGGTTATGCACATAACACGTGCGCATCATCTTAAAGGGGTTGCTCTGGCTGCCAGTTTCACTCCTGGTCTGAAGCAACATCAGAGTGTGGTTAAAATGGCAGACATTATTAATGAGGAAGAACATCCATGCTAGGAGGATCTGCAGCAGTTTGCTTTGGCCGACTCCTACTGGGAAGGGCTTCTTCCTTCTGCCCCCTTTTCTTTTCCCTCCTGCTGAGTTCATTGAGGGCAAACTAATTTTGCATTTTTCACTTGGTTTGCAGCAATTTGAAGTCAGCTACAGGCCAAGGCAAAAAGTGGGAGGAGGAGAGAGAAACTGGGACATTTTAGAAGCGGATGAAAAAGTGGGATGAGCAGAGATTAATCGGGGCTTTGTCTCTGCCATGTTGGGAGAGTTGGAATTTATGTGATGAAGACACACTGACATGCATCTGGCCTTTGTTTCATTCAGTGTTGGCTTGTTTACACCAGTGTAATAGATGTGGACTATCCCATTTATTGTTGATTTAGTGCTACAAAACAAAACTGTCTGGATTGCGTATTGAATATGCATCCCTGACTTTTTTGTGTGGCTTTACTGGAAATAATAAATAAATAAATAAATAAATAAATAAATAAATAATAATAATAATAATAATATTTATTTAATACCCCGCCCCTCTGAGCGCAATCGGGGCGGCTTACATCATAAAATCATCACACAGTAGTTAAGAACAGTTGACCCTTTTTAATATATTTATAATTGTTGTCGTTATGGCAATTCTAAGGTGAACCTTTCATGGGGTTTTCTTGGAAAGATTTGTTCAGAAGGGGTTTTCCTTTGCCTTCTCTGAGGCTGAGAGAGTGTGACTTGCCTAAGGTGGGTTTCTAGGGCTGAGCGGGGATTCGAACCCTGGTCTCCAGAGTCGTAATCCAACACTCAGACCACCACATCATGCTGGCTTTCATGTATTTATAATATATACATAAATGTTTCTTGTTTCTTTCCTGATGTTGTTAGTTTGTTACTTCTCAGGGTTTTTTT